GTCTCCGGTTCTCTACACACACCATACGAAACACAGCAGTGTTGAGCTGCTATATTACGCTGGCATTCTGTAAGAGCGTGGTCCTTCCCCGATCAAGCCGACCCATTTGTGCTACAACTGTACTACTTATGCAGCGGTAGTATGGCTCTAGCACTTAAAAAAGCTGGGCTGCAGTTTGTATAAAAAATATTGTATTCAGGCGCACATCCCAAAAAACTAGACGAAGAAATCATATATGAAAAATATTAACATGATAGCTACAACCGCAAAACGTAAAAGCATGGAATTATGGCAACATAGCTTCCTTTTATTACGTAGGCATTAATTAAGATGTAAAATTCAACCCTCGGAGGGTGAAATAAGGTTTTACAGTTTGTAAGACACTTTTTATTTTACGGGGCGATTGACTGTTGAGTACTCTGTTGATAAAATAAATGAATACGTAGTTTTAGATTTTTTAACTCTTTACATTACTTCTTTCTTTTAAACTAAGCAACCACGCAACGGATTTTGATACGTTTTTCACTGTCAATTAGTTTTAGTTCTAAGGAATCGTAGTTCTTCAAAAAGTCTAGACCAAAAGTCTTCGCTTTAATATGTCTATATTCGAAGTTTGATCTAAGTTTGATGAAATTTAGCACATTGTTTCATCCCGTCATCGCCGTTTCATCCCGATAAGAGGATCCCGTAAGATAATTTTTAATGTTGGTCCATAACAGGCGAACGAAGTCACGGGCGAATGCTGGTAAAAATAAACAATGACAAAATAGATTACTGTTAATAGTAATGGTACTTAGACAATAAAATGAAGTGGGCAATTTTATTTTAACAATGATGTTTATGTTTTTATTTTTTTGCGGTTGTTCATGGGCGGCGGTAGTCACTTACCATCAGGTGAGCCGCATGCTCGTTTGCCCCCTCTCCTATAAAAAAAAAAAAAAAAAAACAATGTAGGAGGTGGGAGAAATTTATGTGATATCAGTTCGAGCCGTACGAGGTTTGTTAGTCAGGGGTCAAAAAATTAAAAGTACCGATTTTTTAAATTCAATTAGGATATTACATGTATAATTTTTTTGAACGTTGTTCATGGAGGCTGAGGGGCCCCTTGAGCTTGGAGGCCCCGGGGCACTACCCCGCCTAGCCCCAAGGTAGCTACGCCACTGCTCATAGTTCACATACGCAAGGCAAAGTGGTAGATTGTACTCCTAATGTAAGTGGTATGTAAGTGGTCTATGGTGCTAAAGCCTTTTCGGATACCGGCTTGTTTCGGACGCTAGAAGTTTTCGAGTCTGCGTGCGGAACGATTCGTAATGACTCTCGAAAATAAAAAAATATATGTACTTATAATGTATTTTTTGTGTTTTAATTTCAGGACATGGATCAAAATAGGAAAGTACGGGTAAAGCGATCGCCGTGTAAATGTCAGTAAAACTCCGACTAATTGATTTTGTGGAACTGGATTTAACTTGTAATAAAATATAGAAAAAATTAAAGTTCGTTTTAAAACAGTACAACCTTTATAGTCCAAAATATTTCTAACAGTGATATTGCTATTTTGAAAACTATTTAATAACTTTTTATAATTGTTTGGTCCATAATGACAAAAAAAAACTTGCTAACACGAAATGAGTGAAAATATAAAAAAATAATAAGTTTAGGTATATAGTGTTTTATTTTTGTACTACACACATTTTTAACTATAAATAACACTACATTGAACTTCTTGCATATAGGCGTTTGAAACAGAGTGAATGCAACAAATTATCTTCACCGTAAAAGAGGTTTTATTGTTTATTGAATGCTCAATGCAACACACTTTTATATTACTGTAATATTTCTGCGGAATGGCGGCGAGTCGGCAGGGTAGCTTTCTACGTGCGCTGCTCTGCGCGTTGCTGGCGAGTTACAAATTGGTTAGCTAGCTTTTTTATTTTTTACACCATTATTTTTAAGCTGTAGTGTATAAAAGGGCTTACATACCTGGTGGCAAGTGACTTCTGTAGGCCATGGACACCTGCACAATTCCAAACGAAAAAAATTACAGATGCGTTGTCACCGCTGAGGGCTAAGATGGAATGCCTTACTGCCTGTAATTAAATTGGATCGCTTTACCTTTCGGACCGAAAGACAGCAGTTCAAGCACTGCTATTAAGTGGCAGAAATTGGTAAGAGTGTGATACCTACCAACTAACTACCTGCTCAAACTGATTTTTTTACGCGGTAGAGCCATGTTGCATCTATATTAGTAGTATAGTTGTAGCACGAATGGGTCGGCTCGACCGTGGAAGGACCACGCTCTCACAGAATACCGGAGTAAAATAGCAGCTTAAAACTGCTGTCTCATATGGTGAGTGTAGAGAACCGGAGACGCTTTTTACTGGAAAAGAGGCATTCCATCTTAGTACTCACAAGTGACAACTCATCTGCATTTTGATTCGTAACCGGAGATAGATGTAGATGTCTATGGGTCACAGCAACCACTTACCATCAGGTGGACTGTGTGCTCGTTTGTCACCCTATCCTATAAAAAAGTTCCAGGAAAAGACTCCTGATAGGACTTAGGGTAAGACGTAGTGAAATATAGATAGATGATAACTCATTTTGCATTTAAACAAAAAATTGTTACAAATATGTCGAAAATGTTTTTTTTTATAGGATAGGGTGACAAACGATCACATAGTCCACCTGATAGTGACTTCTGCCCATAGACATGTACATCTATCGTGGTCCCTCGCCCATTCGTGCTACAATATACTATTGATATAGCTGCAGCATGGCTCTACCACGTTGTAAATAAAATATGGGAAAAGAATTAACAAAGTATCGATAGATTTCGTATGTACTATGCTTCGGTAAAATCGCAGATATCTCGTATAGGAAAACCACCTAACCTTCAAATTTGTATTTTAAGGTTAGGTGGTTTTACAAATACAAATTTGAAGGTTAGGTGGTTTCCCTATACGAGATAATTGCGATTTTAACCTACCTTCAAACTTTGTATTTGTTTATCGCAAAGTTTGTAACACTGCCTAATTACTTCATAACAGATCACTACTGTGATACGGTTTTTTCTCTATAAAGTCAGTACAGAATGTAGTGTTTCTAATATGAGTTTAAGCAAATTACATTGTCACGAAAAAGTTGCGATAAGTGACGTTGGATTTAATTTGTTTATGATTTGCATATTATTTTTCTTCTTAAATAAAAAAATAAAAGTTTTTTTTTAAAATACTAGTAATGCTATTAAACATTACTAATATTCCCTTTAACCACTTCTGGTAAGCTTAAATGCTTGTGTTAGAAGTGGTTCACGACAGTAGTCGTATGGCGGATTCGAACCCACGACCTTTCGAGTTCGCGGTCCGCGCCCTGCCATTAGGCTACTGACGCTTCAGTTCTAAAAAATAAACAAAAAACTTATGAACTATAAACGATGGTCATATCGCTTAAGCGGTCTCTACTTGACAAACCGAACGTAAAAGGACTAATGTTATTATCAATGTTTAACTTTCTCTGCAGTATATTAGTATTAAAAAAAACAATAATAATTTATTATTAACGAGCTGTTTTATATGTTAATTAGTTTCTCAAAAATAATGGTTGCAGTGCAGCCTCTAACCGTAGTATAGATTTTATGGGTAAAATCGACAATAGTAATCCAGAATCTATTTAATTTTAAATATTAAATTTATTACGTGCTAGAGTCATGCTGCAGCTATATTAGTAGTATAGTTGTAGCACGAATGGGTCGGCTCGACCGGGGAAGATCCACGATCTCACAGAATACCATCGTAAAATATCAGCTTAACACTGCAGTGTTTCGTATGGTAAGTGTAAACCCGAGACCCTTTTTACTGGAAAAGAGGCATTCCATCTTAGACCTCACGGGTGATAACGCATCTGCATTTTGATTCTTTATTGAGGATAGATAAAGATGTCAATGGGTCACAGCATCCTCTTACCATCAGGTGGACTCTTGTGATCGTTTGTCACTCTGTCCTATAAAAAAAATCTATAAAATTTGTTTTTAAAATTAACAACTGTCTCTATTTAGTAGTCTAGATTAGTAGATAGCATAGTTTTATGAAAGTACATTAGTTAGTTTTCTCTGCCATTCATCATCATTGTCATCATCACCATTACAACCGTTCACAAATGCACTGCTGAACATAGGACTCTGCCAAGGTATGCTAAAATCACGATCTTCAACCGCCTGCATCCATCATATAGCTATCAAATCGAAATAAATCCTTAAGTCCTCTTCGTAAATATTAATAATTTTAAATATAATAGCTTACAGAAGCTAAAGAATTATTAAAAGATGAAGTGGACAAGGTTATTGAAGACGATATCACCCAGAAACTAAGCGAGGACTTAATGCAGAGCATCGAGAGGAAGTTTCAAGTGGACCTAGAAAGGTGTGCTTCGATTTTCTTAATAAAACTGAAGTGAAAAACAAATTTACAGTGTACCCGATCGTAAGTAGACACTACAGTCTATGAATACCAGCAAACACTTCAAAACAAGAACGTTACAGTTGCGTGGTTACCCATGAGGACTAAGATGGAATTTTCTACGTGGTAGCTAGCCACGCTGCACCTGTATTATGGTTGTAGCACGAATGGGTCGCGACCGCTGGTGCTAATTAAATTGTCGATTATTTTAAGCGCTGATTTACCACGTGCTCGGCGGTGTACAGACCTGCATGTCTGAGAAATAGGAAAAAAAATATTTCGAAGGTATGTGAAGTCCGCCAACACGCGCCAACACGCATTGGGGCGGACATTTCCTTGCCCTAAAACCCTCTCAATAATGAAAGGAGACCTGTGCCCAGCAGTGGGACGTATATAGGCTGAAACAATACTTTTTAGTCTTCAGGGATCATAACACATCCCCATTTTGATCGTTAATCAAGGATAGACTTTACTTATTTTTAAAGTTGATGTTTTTTTTCGTAATTCTTACGCTCTTAACCTCTATCCATCCAAAGATCTGTCGACATGGTCCTAGCTAAGATCAGGCTGCTGTTGCAAAATGGTACTACGCACATTCAAGACAGCTTGATAGAGCTGCAGAGTATGTTGGACCTGATGAAGAAACACACAGGGGCACAGGTAATTATTATTATTATATGTTATATTATTATTTATAATATATTATATCTGTGAAGAAAACGTAGGTAAGTACGAAAGTTAATATTAAAAGGTGTCGAGGTAGACCGAGACTAACTTTCGAAGACCATGTGAGCAAATTGCTCGAAGAGGGTAGGGTCAAGAGTACTCGGATACCTAGACGTGCATGTATGAAGAAGATAATGAATCTGAAAGAAGCGAAAGAGGTATGTAAGGATCGTGACACTTGGCGATCTGTTCTCTCTGGCTACCCCGTCAGGGATTGTGCGTGAAGATAAGTAAGTAAGTAAGTAAGAAGAAAACGTAAAGCTATAGGTGACTATTTTGAAATCTTCATTAACATTATGTATAATGAACTAAAATAGTTCACATTTGAACATAGTACCGTAGGCCACGATTATACAAGCGTTTTCGGACGTGCGCGTTCCTCCAACTTTTGATCAGCGCACACGCTGCATACCTGTTAAACGCATCGCACTCGTCGCGAACACACGCACGATTTTTTGAGTTTTTTTTCGTGTTTTGACACGGACGATAGCGTAGAGCGTTGATTCAACGGACTAATTAAATGGATAGTTCTGTAGAGTCGACAGTTGACCGTCTTACAATCGACCATTTGCGAATTTAACTCATTTCGAAAGTCAGGAACGCACTTACTTTTCTTTACAATTTCTACCCAAAACAAAAAGTTGTAACATTGAAGTCAACTTTAAGTTGCACGTATTTTACTACGTGGTATAGCCAAGCTGCAGCTATTTTTATAATATAGTTGTATTACGAATGGGTGGGCTCGAACGTGGAAGGACCACGCTCTCACAGAATACCAGCGTAAAATAGCAGCTTAATGCTGCAGTGTTTCGTATGGTGAGTGTAGAGAACCGGAGGACCCTTTTTACTGGAAAAGAGTCATTCCATCTTAGTCCTCAAGGCTGACAACGTTATATATAATGTTAACAACGTTATATAAAAATTATATATAATTTTAATGTAAACAAAAAAAAATGCATTCGCGCCTTGTGTGCATCGTCTGCGCTGTTCAGATGTTCAGAGGAACGTACACACCCAGAAAACGCTAGTGTGATCTCAGTATTAATTGAGGGTATTTGTTGTAGGGGGACGAGTCGCTCGCGTCTGTAAGCTTCGACCACCTACTGCTAGGCCCACCCTACACGTGTCCCCCGGGTGGTGCTAAACAAGCGACAAAGCCGAAAGAACAGTCTCGGTTCCTCACAGTGTGGTAGTGGCGTAAATAATACCACCCCGTACTTTCGCACCATGACGCAAAAAAGTTACGAAATGGCCCCAATTTCCCGGCGCCCCTTTAATGGGGCAGGAGTGCGAATAATTTCCGGGAAAAAAACCGGCGACGAGGTTCTCCACCCGTTCACGTTCCGTCTCCCGGAGGGGCGAAAAGTGGATTGCGGAAGCCGCTCTGGCTACGTTGAATGTGTGTGGAGCAATGAATGATAAGATGGATGAAGTATGTGATATGATGTTTGGTAGAGGAATGAAAGTAAATGAGAGAAAACGGAAGGGAAAGGATGCCACTACACATGGCATGTATACCGCGTACTGGTCTGGTGTAGACGAGACCGAGCGGGCATGCCAGGGAGTTGGTATCATCCTTTCAGAAAGAATGGGTCATTGCGTGAAAGAGTATGAATGTGTAAGCCCGAGACTGCTATGGATACGAATAAAAGTGGGCTTAACGAAGTTGTTTGTTCTAGGGGTCTACTCCCCAGACATGTCTAAGCCCACTTATATCCGAGAGCAGTTTTGGGAGTTGGTAAGGATGGTGCTAATGAAATGCAAGGGTAATGAAAATATTGTGATATTAGGAGATTTTAATGGAAGGGTTGGGGTGAAGAGGCTTGGTTATGAAAGGATATTGGGAACGTTTGGTGATGAAAGTATAAATGAGAATGGTGAAAGCCTCCTCACCGTATGTGTGGAAAAGAATCTTGTTGTGACGAACACTCTTTCGTCATAAGAAGATTCACATGTATACATGGGAAAGCGGTGATGATAAAAGCATAATAGATTTCATAATTGTGGATGAAAGAAGGAGGAGCGTGGTGGTAGATACAAGGGTTTACTGGGGGTCCAACGTAGGGACGGACTATTACTTGGTCTTATACCGAATGCTATACAGACGTTGGCGGCATTGGACATCTGTGTCTACCACTGCGTTACATCGTATAAGAACAGAGAAGTTACAAGATGAAGGTGTGAAAGAGAAGTTTAAATGTAGACTGAGAGAAAATATAAGTAGTATGGCTGAATTATGAACGAATGATTTAGACTTGTAGACTGTGTGGTATAATGTCAAGAAAGGTTTGGTGGATGCAGCTACCGAAGTATGTGGTGTAAGTAAGAGAACGAATGAAAGGAAAAATAACACGTTATGGTGGGATAATGAGGTATGGATGGAAGTTGAAACAAAGAAGAAAGCATAGTTAGATTTACTAGCCACCAAGACTAGTAATTCTAGCGGTATGAATGATGACATTGAAAGGAAAAAGGCAGTCTTAAGGCATCTAAATAAGCGAGTAAAAGAAGTAGTTGAGATGAAAAGCAAGAAAGAACGAATAAGAATGATAGAAGAATTCCGAATAACTTCCAGGCAAACATTAAAATGTTCCGTAAACTCGTTGGAATTGCTACATTCAAAACAGCCTAGAATTAATGCTATACGAGACCAGAATGGCTGTATTCTGAATGACGAAGTTTTGAGTTTAAGGAGATGGAAGGAATACTTTGAAAGCGTGTTTATGAGTGATGAAACGTTTGAATTAAATGAAATAGAAATTCCGAAAGAAGAGGAAATAGATAGAGATATAGGTATGGATTAAATAATGAAAGCAATGAAAAGTATGAAAGCAGGTAAGGCAGCCGGATATGATGAGTATCTCTCGAAATGCTAAGGGGTGGAGAAGGAATGGTGGCAGACCTACTGTACACCTTGTTTAATTTATGTTGGGAACTTTAGCGGGTACCGGGAGACTGGTGCAAAGCCGTGATAGACCCAATATATAAAGGAAAAGGAAAAGGAAATGAAAGTGAATGCAAGTAAGACGAAAATTATGGTATATGAAAGAGTAGAAAGTAAAACGAAATGTGAAATAAGAATAGAAGGAGAGTTGCTCGAGCAAGTAGATGAGTTTGTGTATTTGGTATGTGTATTTATGGGATGTTAAATATGATAACGATATAGAACGAGGAGTGAACGCAAGAAATAGAGTGAATGAGGCTCTATAACCTATTGTGGGGAGTCAGAATGTGTTCAAAAAGGCACGTATGGCAATTCACAATGCTGTGTTAGTCCCTACTTTGATGTATGGTAGTGAAAGTTGGGCGTGGCAGAAGAAGCACGAGAGTAGAATAAATGCTGTAGAAATGCGGTCATTAAGGAGTATGTTAGGGATGAATCTGAATGACAGGGTGAGAAATTGATAAGAGAAGAGTGTGATTTGCATGACGATGATTTTTTTACGTGGTAGAGCCATGCTGCAGCCATATTATGGTTGTAACACGAATGGGTCGGCTCGACCGGGGAAGGACCACGCTCTCACAGAATACCAGCGTAAAATAGCAGCTTAACGCTGCTGTGTTTCGTATGGTGAGTGTATAGAACCGGAGACCCTTTTTACTGGAAAGGAGACATTCCATCTTAGTCCTCACGGGTGACAACGCATCTGCATTTTGATTCTTAATCGCAGATAGATGTAGATATTTATGGGCCACAGCAACCACTTACCATCAGGTGGACTGTGTTCTCGTTTGTCACCCTTAACCTATAAAAAAATGTTGTGACCAGGATTAAGAAGGGAATGCTTCGATGGTTCGGTCATGTAGAAATAAAGAATGAGGAAAGAGTGACAAAGCAAATTTATGTAGCAGAAGTGAACGACAGGGTCGGGAAGGGACGCCCTAGATGAAGCTTTATCGACCAAATCGGCGATGCATTGGAAATGGGCCAGATTAGGAGTACCCTTAATCAACGAGCGTGTATGCGTATATACATGGATGTGGAGGAAGCGAGAGAGGTGTGTCAGGATCGTGCCCAATGGAAGTCCATAGTCTTTGCCTACAGCTCTGGGTGACAGGCATGACTGTTTGTGTTATGTTATATCTGTTGTAATTGTTAAATAAGGTCTGAAATCAAAAGTTGGCACTCAACTATGTATTTTGGGTATAATGTACATTAATGGTACAAAAATAATGTGTAAAATTTTTTTAGTCTATACAAGTCGCGGCATGCAAGTCTAGCGCTGAACGAAACGTGGAGGGGATAGCTGCGCATGGGTACTATCGCGCACGTATCACGTATCAATACGGGGTCGGAATGCGATTGGAGAGCCAATCAGCTCGCGGAATGCGACTGGAGAGCCAATCAGCACGCGAAATGCAACTGGAGAGCTAATCAGCACGTGGGAACGAGTGTTATTAGTGTCCAATTTTGACTAAGATAAATCTTTTAGTATTCAGGGCATTTTTGATTTTCTTACAGTGAACTTTAATGTGCGTTATGATGAATGGCAGTATATTTCATCTACGCCACAGAACACTGCTGGCTGTCGCTGGTTTGCGTGTGGCAATTCCAAAGATGCGACAATACCAGATGATAGACTCAGTATCTTACCAAGAGTGAGGATTAAGACAAATCTTTTATATATTAGAAAGATACCTTGGTCCAAAATTGTTTTTTATGGATCGATGAAGCATAAAAAGAAAATGCACTAGAAAATAAAATCTTAAAATTATACATTTTCATATACAGGTTGATTCATGCTTGAAGAGCAAGCAAAATGAGACGTCAGCTATGGCGGAAAAGGCGTTGCACCAGATGGTGGTGTGCGGGTATGCGTTAATAGGCCACGACCCGACGCAAGCTGTTGGAAAAGTGGTGGCTTTGAAGAGCATGATAAAACAAGGAGTAAAGCCAGTAAGTCTTCCAAGGTCCTTTTAAGTTATAGGCCCCATTAAGCTTTGTAATGAAGTTAATAATGAAATAGTAGATTTACTTTTTTTTTACAAAATTGAAGTAGCAAACGTACATACACGCCACCTAATGGTATGTGGATGCATGCATGGACAAACTGAAGTTAAAGTTAAATTCACAGCCTTATATAGGCTGTGAACTCCCACTGCTGGGCACAGGCCTCCTCTCATTCCTGAGAGGGTTTTAGGGCAAGGAAATGTCCGCCGCGCTGTCCCAATCCCAAATGTTTTTTTTATTATTTCTCAGACATGCAGGTTTCCTCAGGATGTTTTCCTTCACCGCCGAGAATGTGGTAAATCAGCACTTGAAATTGCAATTAACAATTTGAATGGTGCCGACGGGATCGAACTCGGTTTGCTCGCGTACTGTGTTTACAGCGAGTGCTAATCATCTGAGCTACCACGGCTCAGATGGTTAGCGCTCGCACGTGGACACTGGTGCTGTCACCTCTGAAGACTAAGATACTTCACTGCCTATAATTGTAACGACTCTCTATATACTTCAGATCTGACCACAGCAGTGCATGAACTGCTATTTCTCGTCAGGAATAGCTAAAAGGCGGTGGTAGTTACCCAGACGGACTCATAGCCAGAATACCACCTAGAACACCACTTAATAGCTTAAAAAATTCTAGATTTACGCGAATAGAAAAGAAATCGACACACTTCTGAAGCTATGCGGCCACGAGCACGACTCTTTGAAGAAAGTCATAAAGTGTGTCATATCCAAGGTATGTATGCACCCATATCAACCTTCGCTACTTCTTAAAATATCAGTTATTAATCTTGTTGGGTTGTGTAACCAGAAATGTAATTATGTTTAGCGTGGATATAGACCCTACTAGCGATTTGTTACGCTGGGTTTCTCGCTGGTTCTTCCCAGGACTTATTTTCCGAACCAGTGGTAAATAAAAGATGACTTTCAATAAGTATTATGTAATAATCAATATTGAATAAAAATCATTCTATTCTATTCTATTCTTTCACACGGGTGATATTTGGATCTCGACAACAGCACCACTTACCGGGTCCAATTATAAATTTAAGCCATCCATGGACCCACATTAAAACACACAAAAAATTTCATCAAAATAGCTCCAGCCGTTTAGGAGAAGTTCAGTGAAGCACACATACAGAAGAATTATATATATATATATATATATATATTTTTAACACAACAACAGCCTTATTTTATAAAAAAAAACCCACATACAGAAGTTTTATGTTTGTATCATCGATCGCTAATAAAAAACTAGATGCACAATCCCATGCAAAAGTTCTCTATAAACTGTCGCTAATTGTTAAGACGGCAAGTCTAGTTGAAATAAATATACATTAATGTAGATTCAACCTTAAATGCATTGCCTAAAGTTGTATTCGCAAAGCTACGTACAAATTAAAAGCACACCCAAATGTTTGAGTGGGCGCTCATTCGGTAAGGACATTTTTTGTCACTGATTGTGTATCTAATTTTCAACGTGATAAGATTGTGACGTTAGAATTTTAAAATTGAGATATAAGATTCCTATGAACTTGATATCTTGCAATATGCTGTCCGTTAGTCTCACTAAAACTCAAAAATGGCTAAAGGATTTTGATGAAATGTGGGTGGGTCCCTGGATAGCTTAGATTCACAATTGGGCCCTGTAGGTGGCGGTGTTATCGAGATCCCGAAATCACCCGTGCGAAGCCGGGGCGGTTCACTAGTTATAAATATTTGTTACAATATACTATTATTTATTAATAGTGTGCCTGTGTGCCTGTGTGTGTCCTTTATACCATTTTGCTTAAAAAAATAACAATTACTTGTTTTGAGACGGATTCAAACGCAGTTAGACTCTTAACCCAGAAAATATATTTTATTCCAGAAAATATACAAAGTTTGACCTGTTCAAAGTTCAAAAACTTTATTAAACTAAGTTTGTATAAAAAGGGTTATTATAATATTAAGGAATTTATGGATGATAATAACCCCTGGAAAAGAAGTGATCGCTACCAAGCTATTTCTAATTTGTTGTGTTGTTAATTTGTGTAACATCATGATTGTAAGCTGTTATTTAAAAAAAAAGTCCCGCTGGGTTTCTTGCTGGTTCTTCCCAGGACAGAGGTTTTTTCCGAACCAGTGGTAATCAAACAAAAGAGTGACTTTCAATAAGTATTATTTATAATCTATATTGAATAAAAAAGTTTCTGTTTCTGTTTCTGTTTCAACCAATGCGCATTGGGTGGGTACTGAGTCGTCTAATTTTAAATCGTTTAATTGTAAGTGTAAAAATCAAAAGTTTTAGTCCAAATTTGCCACTTAATATCTTTTTCGATTTCACAGTCTCCAATCATAAAATCATCCATGATGGAAATAACTGGAAAGTTGTTAGAGGGTGTTGTGGACCTGACAAAATTAATGGCACACGGCGCTATGCACGAAGCCTGTTTGATAGAAGTGGTGAAGACTTTGGAAGACGAGGCCTTTGATATCATTAAAAACCTAAGAGATTGCGCATATGGAAACAACAGCTACTTTGATGACATCAATAATTATTTATCCGAGAACAATGCAACTGTTCTTGATATTGGGAGGAAATTAAAAACTCTTGATACTGATAAAAATAAAAATACCAGTGATGTGAATGAAATGAAAGAGCTGTTGCGGAGAATGGTGCTAGAAAACAATAAAACCGATGTTGACAAAAAGCTTAAAGATAAATTGTTGCAGCTACAGGATGATATCAAATTTAATGATGCTAATGATATATCCATTATATATACATAACATTATTAAATCATTGCTGGTTTTATTTTTATCCTTTAAAGTTTAATTTTTTTCTATTTATTAGCATGATCTCTAAAATTCATTCAAACACGTTACTAAAGTGTGAACAATTTTAATGTAAATATAGTAAAGTCTCATTTCGGAATGAATATAAACAATCTTCCAAAGTCGATTAAAATAAATGTATGAAACGAGCAACACTCCACCTAATAGTAAGTGGCGTCTGTAGCCCATTGCAATGGAACCATAAAATAAATAAGACCAGAGATGAGTAATTAGAACAGAGATTAAATGCCTCACAGCTTGTAAACTATATTAACTCTCTTATCGTTCAAACCGAAATACAATAGTAAATGCGGTGAATTACTGCTATGCGGCATATATAGGTGTAAGGGTGCATACAGATTAAGTAACATGTTGTGTAACTTTTGTTTTATAACACGTCCACATTATGTTACATTGTCAACATTGCAACATATAACAATACTGTACATATTAGAATAACAATGCAATGTAACAATGTTATATGGCATTGTCGTTTGTCGTTCTGCAGTGCTTTTTACAATGTCGACACGAGAAGACGTTTTGCTAGCTGCTGCAGCAACTCTTGTACTTTTAAATAACAAAAGAATAAAAAAAAGAGATATTGAGTTCGTCCCAAACAAACATAGTTTATTGACTAGAGAAAAATACTCTCGAGTTATATAATACATTTTATAACACTCAGTCTGCACATTACCAAAATATGTTATATAACAATGTACAATGTAACCCCTTACGGTGCGTACACATTATATAACATGTTATGTTATATAATCTGTACGCACCGTAACAGGCCAACCCAATGGTGACCAACCCCACGGTGTTGTGAAAAAGGAAGTCTCTAGTCTAGATTACATTTATGCTCACCCCAAAAAGAAAACATATATTAAACGTGGTTTCGTACGTGAAAAATTTGAAAAAAAAAACCTTAAAATGTAAGTTGTAGGGCATATGACAAGAATATTGAAAATTGTAGGATACATTATTTTAAAAATGTTTTTCTTTAATTAGATTTGTTGTTTTACGTATCAATATCGTACATTATATTTATTATATTGCCGTGTTGGATGCTGCGTGGTGACGCTAGAAGCGATTCTATCATTTGCTTTCGTCCCCGTGGGTGCCGTAAGAGGAACAATGGGGAATGCCGGAGATTATATGGCTTCCGACAGGCGGTTTGCTCTAGATTATTACACAGTGATAAAAACATTATTAAAGGTGCGAGTGTTATGAGAGAGGTTATGGCTTATCCTCTCTGCAACGGGAGAGGTCCAGCTCTGAAGTAGGTTTATGGGCTAGTGAAGAATAAGATATACATAGTTGTAGCACGAATGGGTAGGCTCGACCGGGGAAGGACCATGCTCTCACAGAATACCAGCGTAAAATAGCAGCATAACGCCGCTGTGTTTCGTATGGTGAGTGTAGAGAACCGGAGACCCTTTTTACTGGAAAAGAGGCATTCTTTCTTAATCCTCACGGGTGACAACGTATCTGTATTTTAATTCGCAAACGAAGATAGATGTAGATGTCTACGGGCCACAGCAACCACTTACCATCTGGTGAACTGTGTGCTCGTTTGTCATCCTTATTCTATAAAATATAGATAGATTGCCTAGCTGTCTCCGTAGAATCCTATGCAAATATAGTTCGTAATATGGATCATATGAAATATAGCAGTATTTCGCTGGGACAATGTTCATGCTGCCCCATTTTTGTAATATAACAATATTAAGGAATAAGAGTCATATATAATATTAAAACATAAATAATACATTTATTTATTGAAATTATTACATTATCGGGCTTTTGTGAAAGCAAAGTCTAATATTTTCATCAGGAAATACCTACGGGTTAAAATATAAAGCAGTTTTTATGTGGTAGAGCCACGCTGTCTTGTGGCTGCAGCACGTATAGGTCGGTACAACTATACTCGTAGATGCACACTGTCACAGAATGCCAGTGCGAAGGAGCAGACTAATGCTGCGTTAAGGCGCGTCTCCACCAAAAATGTTGACAACATTTATGTTTCCAACTGTTGACAAATCAACAAAAGTTGACGACATTTGTTTCCGAAAATGTTTCAAAATGTTGCAAGAACCGTCTCCACCGAGGGAACAAATGTCGGCAACAAGCGTATTCCTTTGATGTTGCCACCGAAAATGGAAACACGATTCCCGATATTGTTTCGTTTTGTTGCTAAAACTAGGTGATTACAGAAATATTTGTCGGCAACACGTGTTGACAAATGTTGTGTTGACAACAAAACTTTGGTGGAGACGCGCCATTACTTACGGTGAGTGTAGAGAACCGGAGACCATTTTTAGTATTTTTACTGTGTACTAAATTTTTAGTATTTAGTACACAGGCTGATTTATTAGGAATATATCTGTAGATTTGTACGTAGTAGAGCTACGCTGCAGCTATATTATGGCTGTAACACGAATGGGTCGGCTCGACCGGGGAAGTACCACGCTCTCATAGATTACCAGTGTAAAATGGCAGATTAATGCCGCTGTGTTTCATACGGTGAGTGTGGCGAACCGGAGGCCAATTTTACTGGAAACGAGGCATTTCAAGTTAGTCCTCAGGGATGATAACGCATCTTCATTTTTATTTTTAATCGAGGTGGACTGTGTGTTCTCTTGTCACCCTTTATCTATAAAAAGATATATAAATAAACATGTAAGCTAATTTGATGTTAATAGTATACAAAAAAATAAAACAAATTTGATGGCGTTAGTATCTTAGTCAATTTTATTGATAATCGCGTTCGAAAATTACAAATAGCATCGATTGATGATCCTATTCTGGATATGAAGTGTTAGTATTTATTTAATGACCTTCAAAGATCTTTTTAGTACTCATATTAAGCGTACACGTCAAACAAGATTTATAACTTTGAGGTTGCTCCCGATTTGATTCGCTCTGAACTATTTATGTTGCACGTATTAAAAAGAGGTCGGCATCGCATAACTGCGTATTGACTACAGGAACTATCGTAATACAACGCATACATTGCGTTTTATGTTTAGAATCCTCGTGAACTGTTGCAACCCATCGAGTAATGGTTATCTTTAAACTATACGCGATAGGTCGTGAGGAATTTGGCAAGATGTCCCGGCCATTGAATGTAAATTTCTATTTGATGCGCGGCATGTGAGACTCTATTCTTTGAGCACGCATTTGCAAAACCTACGCAACTATTATTTGAATGAACTAGCTGTTTAGAATTTAGTTGCACAAACGTTCACCTAAAATACACTTAAACCAAAATGTAGGACGTGTTAATAATATAAAGGCCGGCTATACGTTCGAAAAACCGACAGCCGATGCGGAAGAAAGGAGTGTGGCCTCGTACTTACTAGCAAGCGTAGTGTTCAGTGAACCCCAACTAGATGAGAGTCAGATTTTTTTTATAGGATAAGGGTGACAAGCGAGCACACAGTCCACCTGATGGTAAGTGGTTGCTGCGGCCCATAGACATCTATGCCGCAGCAACCACTTACCATCAGGTGGACTATCTATTCTCGATTACGAATCAAAATGCAGATGCTTTGTCACCCGTGTCATTTTTTATTTACCACTGGTTCGAAAAATACCTCTGTCCTGGGAAGAATCAGTAAGAAACCCAGCGGGACTTTACACTTTACAATAATTTTGTTTGTCCAATTTTTAAATGAATTTTAATAGAACCAGCATGGTGGCGATCACCTCATTCCCAGGAGTTATTTTCATTCATGTATTCCTTCATATTATAATAACTCTTTTGGTACACATTTTCTTTAATGAAACTTTTAAACTTGTTTATCGACAAACTGAGATTTTATTGTAAAAGTGTATAATACATTGTCCCATAAATGAATTACTAATTCTGTGGAATCTAGTAACTATCGTTTACGACATTACAGGCGGTTCACTTTAATATTTGATAAGATTGCGAATAGAAGTAGGCTGGCAGAAATAGCAAAACAGACAGATATACAGATCAGAAGGTTGCGTGTTCAAATCACGTCAAGGTCACCACTGTATAGGGTTGGTGCCGGTTATTAGTAAAAGTTATTGTCAACTGAAATGTCTTTATTCGATTACATAATATTTGCGACGCTCGCTCACCTTCTTCATTCATTCTCAGAAACCCTGCATTTAGCTTAGTAATCGAGCATAGATGTAGATGTCTATAGGCCACAGCATCCACCTACCATCAGGTGGACTGTGTGCTCGTTTGTCACTTTTATTCTATAAAAAACAACGCCATCTTTCGAAAGGAAAAGATTTTAAACTCAGTTCATTTGCTATTATCTCGAAAGCTGTTTACGATATGGGAAAATTATTAAAATAAAATAAAGATGTATTAATTTTACGATATAAAGTTCGTCTTATCTTCTTTTATGGTGTTTCATCATCATCATCATACCACAACTCATCAAAGTTCACTGCTGAACATAAGCCTCTTCATAGATTACCTCGTAAGAGGGGGAAATAGGTAACTGGCGATTTTTTTCTTATTGTAATTAGAAAGACTCTGCCGTCATCTCTTGGCTTGTTTCCCTGTGTCGCCTCTTACGACACCCACGGGATGATAGTGGTAGTGGATATACTTACAACGTCACTACACGGTGAAAATGGCAAAAATTGTTTTTAATTTAAAACGAAAATATTAAAAATCGACTTTGCATCAACACTTTTAGAGACAGAAGATAAAATGTGAGGCTGTGCTTTTCGGATAAATATAGCTGAAATCATTGATGGCGTTACTCTCTATTCGTTCGTCAAGTTTAATCACAATCGATTCAGCCTTTCCGAAGATTAGCTCGACTTGATAGACAGACACACAGACAGTCAGAACTCGGTTATTTCGATATTAAACTTCATCAATTACTAATAAAAACCTAGATACACAATCCCATGCAAAAGTTCTCTAAAAACTGTCGCCAATTGTTTTGACGTAATTATAGTTG